ACAACGTCGCCTTGCTGATCTCTTGCAGAACCGCGGCGCGCCCTTGTGACGAGCTGGCGGCCTTCTGCGATGCACGAGTCGCCATGGATCAAGATGTCGTGAACGAGGACATCACGACCCTAGTAGACAGCCTTCTCAGGCCAGGCGGAAAGCTCGCTCGTATCTCGCATCACACTGACATTCGCGAGGTTCTATGCTGCAGAGCTGATGGAAGGTAGAGGATGCACACATTCCGTATTTTCATTGGCGGCTAAATCGTTTCAGCTTCCGCTGGATAACGTCCCTCGCTCAAAGTCTCGCCGGACTGACCGTGCCGACGAGTCGCTACGTGCAGAGTCACCTCAATAACGTCCCGGACGCGCTCGTTTCTCTTTACCAGAAGGGCCTCAACTCCATCATACCGGCATTTCGAGAAGATGTCGTTCGTCTACTTAAATGGGTTATACACACCGCAGAGCCGCTGTCTCCGGCTGAGCTTCAGCAACTCCTTCTCTTCCGTTATGCGAACGACTCGGACATGCCGGTGTACGATTCGTCTGAGGCTTTGGGCCAGGATGCGGCGGTGATCTCCCTCGTCGGTTCGACATTTCTGTTCGTCTGCGATGGTGTCGTACGCCTGGCGCACTCTTCGGTCAAAGACTACCTTGTCTCCCTTCCCGTAGAGTCGCCGTTCCGCGTGGATGAGCAGCCTGAGTTCCCACTGATGGCTCGCACCGGCTTTGCGTACATCAGCAGCGAACCTGTCGGCGAATGCCCCGATCTCGGCACACAACGCCCTCACCATCTCACATGGACGTGGGTCGTCTATATGTCGAGAGCAGACGAGCGACAATATCCTGCACTCGAGGGCGACTTCGTCAGTACACTGGTCCACATCAGGGCAAAGGGCTTAATTCATATCACCTTGCACGCCGCCATACATTTCGCGCACGCTCCGATTGTAGGCTTTTTGTGCTACCACGGCCCGGGTGGCTTCGAGGTGGACTCCTTCGAAACCATCAATCGACTACTTAGCGAGACAGCCCACCGACCTACCGAGCGATGGTCGATTTTCCCTCGAGGTTATTTGTCGGAGGAGCGAATTCGGGAGCTGCTGATCAGCGGACGGCGTTTTGTCCAAGGAAGAAGGGATAAGAGCCGAAAGGTAGTATGCGATCGCAATGGTCACACTTGATGTTAGGTAGGTAAGCACGACGACCATGGTATTCGAAGGCACTGACGTTCTCCTGTAGCTCCGCAGGAGTGTAATCAGCGTGCAGACATTCGTCGAAGGTCCCAGTTCGCCCACTGTACTGGTCAGTCTCATGTCGGGAGCGGGCGTACGCGTTATCCCGTGATTGATGTTCATTCGAATAGACAAGCCTGATACACGAAGGAAATAGCCTAGATAAATAGCTACACATGAGCGCCATCGTCGTGAGCAGTTATCATGAATAAAGTAGCACGCGCACAGCAATGAGAACAACGAGGAAAGTCCGCTCGCGCCATCGTCTATTCAAGGCGCAACCTCCAGTCCGCCAACGAGGGCCCGACGCCCTGCAGTAGCGATGAGACGCCTCATGCCCATGGGTTATCTTCGTGGTCCTCGAAAGGATCTACCACGAATCGTGGTGGCGTCGTCGTCCGCGCAATGGGCTCGACCGCCACACTCGGCGGACTCATCAGCCTTGGCGACCCGGGCGTCGGCGGACTATCCCTCCCCCCGCGCGACACGCCCTCCCGGTCTTCCACCGCCTCCCGCACCTCTTCGCCAACTTCTATCCTCGCTGACGGGCTCGCCCACCCCGGGTCGTCAACTTCGACCTCGCCGCGTCCGTCGTCGAGCCCACGGCGGTACACCCGCTGCAGCCCGCCACGGTCTTCGTCGGTCTCGACGACGAGGTCGACGGCGTCAGGCGGCAGAGGGCTACTGGTCGGCTGCTTGGGGCTGTCCCGCGGGGTGTCGTGGCTCCGGCGCGGGGTGCCGGAGCTTCTGCGCTGAATGTCGAGGCTACGTCGTAGAGTCTCTTCAGAGCGCCTCTGCCCCGAGCCGCTGCTTCCGGTCGAGGATTGTGTCCGAAGCGTGGGTGGCGAGCGTACGCCAGGGCTGCCCCGAGTCTGCGATGGTGACGACGGGCGTGCGCCCTCCCGCTGCAGCCGCGTCCAATGAAGCTTTACCTCGCCCTGGTCTCCCGTCTCCGCCTTGTCCGCCTCGAAGTCGACGTACCGCCGATGCGGGTTCTTCGCATCGTGTTGCTCATCGAAGTCCGGCTGAGCTCGTCGCTGCGTCGGCGTAGTCGTCCCCACCGCGCCGTACCCTTGCCACACCGGGCCCTCGCGCTGACCCAGCGCAGCGACGCCCCGCGCGCCGGTGAGCGGCGAGTACCACGCGCCACGCTCATCCCGCAGCACGCGCTCCTCCTCGTGCCACATCATCCGCCGCGCGGCCTCGCTGCTGACATCCACGCACGGGTAGTTGTAGTCCCCGAAGATGTAGTGCCGGCAGTGGTCATACAACTGCTCGTCCGCATCATCAACGTCGCCGAACGGGAGCTCGAAGCCCTCCTCAGCAACGCGCGCAGACGTCCACACGTCTTCGTCTGCGTCTCGGCGCATGTCTGGGGCTGCGTGCACAACGTCGGCAGCTTCAGAGGCGAGGAGAGGCGCGTGCGCGTCCTCATTGTCCAGGGCGCGGTGGATACCGCGCGTGACTGGGTTGTCATCCCGCGCAGATGCTGGGCGAGGCAACCAGTACTTGCGCTTGCCGCCCTTGCTGTAGCGCAGCCCTGCGCGAATACGTCGCTCGCGGCCGAGACCTTGATGTATGAAGCCCTCCGAGGGCTCGAATTCGCGGTAGTCCATACCCTCTCCACGCATCGTCGTCTTGAAATCCTCGACAACATCCTTGATGCCGAATGCGTCGCGTAAGGCGTAGTAGAAGGGCATGCGGGCCACGAACGCCTTCGTTTCGTCCACGAAGTCCGTGAAGGAGAAGGCGTACCAGTGCGCGATTGCAAAGAACGGCATCTCGATGCAGATCAGCGTGTCCGACAGCCCGAGGGATATCCGCTCCGCATCCGTGTATGGCCCAAGGCGCGCGATCGCGCCCGCCGCGACGAGGATGGAGATGGCGAGCGACTGCCAGAAGGAGAAGAAGAGGATGCCCTTGACGCAGAGAAACTTTGGCACCGGGCGGAACGGCTTCAGATCGTCGTTGACGCACAGCCAGAAGATGGCGAGGCAGTAGAGCGCGAGGCAGATGCTGACGTTGTACACGACGGAGACGTAGAGGTAGCCGGAGTTGGCGCGTAGGTCGCCGTCATTGTACTTGTTGCAGGCCTTGAGGATGAGCGTAGCGGTGGCGAGGATGGGTTTGACATAGACGTATTCTAGGGTGGGGTCAGGGAGGGGAGGTAGGGCGGTGGTTCGAAAGACGCACGCATGATCCCCCGCTTGAGAAAGAGGAAGGTGTACGGGTCGCTGACGTCGATCTCCCTCGTGAAGATGTTCGCGGGGAAGGGGGGCGCCTTCGGGGGCCGGCCGTGCATCATGATGAGCAAGGAGCGCTCGCCACCGAGGTAAACGAGGAGCAGCACGAAGAAGCAGTAGATGACAAATGCCTGTCCCCAGTCAGCGTTCTGGTGAGGGCATGGGTGTAGAGCGCACCTCGTATACATCCCTAATAGCGTCGATGAAGAAGGCAGCTTCGAGGGAGAAGAGGGAGATGAGGGACGCAACCGCGTAGATGGGTATCATAACCATGATTCGGACAACCATCCTGAAGACACGTATTGCTCAGATATGCGCTAGTGTAGACACGTCTGGAACGCACCTCTGGAGTGCTGGTTTCCTGTAGTTCTTCAGATGCAGATATATCGAGAATGCCGAGACCACCACGGCGACCACAGTCGACACGCCGGCAAGAACCAGCACTCCCGCTGGCAAGTGGGAGCCGGAGCCCTCTCGGTCTCCGAGCTTGAGACCCATCAGGATGGGTGAGACCGCGGGCGACGTGGAAGTAAGAAGCAAGAACGTCGAGAACGATGGCCGCAGCGCCGGCGCCGATGACGAGCTGATTTTCGTTTCATCCCAAAAAGGTTATTCGTACTTGCTTCCAACCACCATCTCCTCGGAATGGAACCGCCTTCGCTATATGCTTTGACTCTGAGCACTGCTTGTACTTGAGGATCCATTGCTACGAGAGCCCCTTCGCCCTTCTAGCAATTCTTACGTTGCTTCACGTCCCACCCGCTCACCGTTTACCATGAAGTTCTCAGCAATCTGGGGCATGCTCACCGACCTATGGCTGGCCATAACAATCGGTTTCAAGCCGACGCTCCTCGCCGTTCTCAAAAATCCCCGTCTATTGCTTCACCCCTCCAGGGTCTCCAGGTTCTTCATGGCAAGAATCTGGGAGCAGTATGGCCCCGGGACAGACCAGAACTCGCGAGCGGAGAAGGAGAAGCTGATTCGGCCGTATGCGAAAGGTGTGGTAGTCGATGCGGGGGCAGGTTAGTATGGGCTTTTGGTTGTCATCTACGCCTTCCACTGCCGAATCATCTCTCATCTACTTACCATCGGTTACGCGAGTGGGAAATGCTGACGATGAAATGCCTATAGGACACGGCGTCTCCGCATTATACCTAGACCGCAACAAGGTCACGAAGTATGTCGCGGTCGAGCCCAACCTCGCCATGCACGACTACATCCGACGCACGGCAGCAAGCGCCGGCTTCAGCGAAGACGATGGCTCTCTCGTCGTCCTCGGCTGCGGCATTGAAGACGTAGCAGCCATATGCGCGGCGCTCCGATCCAATAAAGCTGCGGACACGGACGAGCGCTCTGCAGATACCAATGCACCTCACGCCAACCTAGCTGGCCCCTGCGCCGACACCATCATCTCCGTCCTTACCCTCTGCTCCATTCCCAATCCCCGCGCAACCATCCGCGCCCTTGTGCACGGTCTCCTCGCGCCCGGCGGCACATTCCTGTTTTATGAGCACGTCCTGAGCCACCGCGCGGATGTGGCGTGGTGGCAGCGGTTTTGGGCGCCCGTGTGGCGGGTGCCGTTCGATGGGTGCCGGTTGGACCAGCCGACGCACTTGTGGATAGCTGAGGCTGGGGATGTGGATGCGTCGCAGGCGGGGGACAGAGATGCGTCGGATGCGGATGACGATAGTAAGGGAGGAGCAGGAAACGATGGCAAGAGAAGATTATCATGCGAAGGTGAGGGCGGAAGCCTCTGGGCGATCCAGGAAACGTGGGGGAAGGAGGGCGAGACGGAGGATACGCTCTTTTGGCATCAGGCAGGGCGCTTCGTGAAGCGCAGCTAGCATGTGTAGGGATTTCTTAGCTCGAAATTCTGTTGGTCTGTACACGAAACTATCACTCATACTTCTTTTCGTTGCTTTCTTTGTCGATGGACCAGGTGGCACCGTGGCAGACTGTATATGTGAGAGACCTGGTAACCCAAGGAGCGCCGCGTCGTCCTCTGCGGCTTCTCAAAGTCCATTATAACGATTTGGATGGGCAGAAATGAGGACGGGATGCGAATTAGAGCTGAAAAGACTGAAAAGAAAGAGCCAACTTGGGTCGGGAAGTATGGCTCATCCCCATTGGGATATTACTTAAGCCGAGTACATTCAAACCCTCCGGGTCGTCTACGTTGTGCAAGGCGTTCATGGTGGCTTCAGCACCTTGCAAAACGATTTACTCGAGCAAAAACCAGCGACGTCTGGAAACCCACGCCACCACGGGCTGCTTCATGGCCGTTGTCACAACCACAGCTCAGCGTTTGGCGGCAACCAACGGAGCAACGCGCATGCCCAAGATTTACTGAGGAGTCGACAAAGGATGAATACTCGGAAGCCAGTACACATACTGCTCGAGATTCCCCTTGCGGTACCGTCTTTAAACGACCAGGACACAGGGGAGTGATGGGACGGCGGATCTGCGAGTTGCAGGTGCGTCCCCTCTCGAGTTTCTTCACGATAACATACACTCATACTATGCGATACGTAGTGCGCGGTACAATTATAATGAGGGCAAGGACCTATACCAAACGTCCAGCCACGACCGCCGTGTTCCCATCCTTCTACGCTAAAGGCCAGGCTCCCAGCAAGTCACTCCTACACCCCTCTGCAGGACGTACGATTCGCCCTCCTCAAGCATCAACGTGGAGCAGAGCGTCAGAGGGGTCTGGACGAACACATCCTCCAGCACGGCGGGCCCTTCCTCGCCCAGAGCGCCGCACCGGCTGTCAATGATCGCTCTAAGCGCTTCCTCCGCCTCCTCGCCCCACCGCAACGCTAGGTTCTCCAATCCGACGCTCTTCAGCCCGACGCTCTGCAGCCGCGGCAGCAAGTGCCGCCCCTCCCCCCACACAAGCTCCCTCAGCAGGCTCGCGCGCACGA